TCCAATGACAAAAATTAAAAATGCCATAATTCCGTGAAGAAAAAATCAATAACGCGGAACAAATGCAAACTTGATCAGTAACTCATTGAGATACACTAAAATACCAAAAATCATTTTGATATCTACAAGCCTTTAGAAAAAGTGCGGAATACCAGTGGGACAACAGACCGACAGACAGAGGGACAGCTAGACGGACGGACGGACGTTCAGACAGCTAGACAGACAGACGGACAGACAGTCTCAGTGGAAACCTATAGTCACCTCCAGCTTCAATGTTAGGTTATTAATGAATAGATATTTGAGAGAAAGGGTGATATACTGGCTTGCGGCTGATATAAAAAGAACAATGTCGTTAACATTTTCCTCTGCATTCCTCATTTATTACTTTGTAATGGGGTATTTTTCTCAACCGTTTAAAACATTTACGTGTTATGCTTGAAATCGTTATAAACATGAACATCCTTAAATGTATTATTGATCATGATACATTACCATTTACGGTATAAATATTACTTCTAATGCACAAATTATGTTTATATCAACATACTGCTCATTCTGACTTTGAAGGATGGGAGACCGGTCCTTCGGATGAGACCGAATTAACCGAGGTCCCGTGTCGCAGTAGGTGCTTACACGAAAAAGACCCCCCTGCTCAACTGCATTTAGTGTCGAGTATAGGATCAAAAGAATGGGTGGACTTATCCCATGACCGACAAATTTTTCTTTGATCTTCACAAGGGTGTATTTCTCATATCAACAAAAGTGTTGCGATATATTAAATATCACATATGTGATATAAAGCTAGTGATATCCAACAGTTATACCCTAGATGTAGGAGGAGCTATGCAAATGAGACAATAATTCGTTTCTAGATTTTAATGAAATAACAGAAACAAGAAAAAACACACAATACAGATAGTTAACACAGTTTAAATCAAAATGCACAAATCTTTACAAAAAAAGACACTGATATGGTCTAGCGGAGCAATTCTCGAAGCGGATAGCTTCATCTCCTATAGAAATTCGCACATTCAATGGTAGTTTCCTTCTGGGCATCCTCTGAAAAGTTCATTTCATGAACACCTTGCTCTCATGTACAGTAGAATATCGGAACAGATTTGATATAAAGTCCTCGATCGGGGGTAGGGAAATCCGTATGCGCCCCTGGCTTCAATTACAGTGTACAAAACATGATATAGTGTTCGAAAGTTCTTGGTATATAAAAGTGAGTATTTCGGGAATTATTTTAAACTCACCAAGTTGTTGTTTCGCTGAGATTTCCAGTCGTTGAACTCTTGAACCATGTTGACTGCCCATGAACTGATGAAGTGTTACGGCGTGTGGTTTTACTTTCTTGATTTTTTAAGCGCACTTATTTCACTGGCCGACAAATATTTTCCGAATCTGTATAGCTAGTATTTTCAGTCCATTCCGTAAAATTTTCCCGTTTCAAATTTTCAATTCCGGAAATGATCCCAAACACCAACACTGTAAATCGAAATTCATAAAAGTCCTGGCCACATGGGCCATTTTTAAATCCGATCGCCTGAGTTCATACAATCTGAACTGCTTGACTCGATTGAAAATTATCCTCGTCGTAGGCTTGCTGCAAAAACGGCGATTCTTTACGCTATAGACCCCTTCTACTACTTTCTCCAAATCCATAGAATACAAATGAATTGATTATCTCAAGAAAATGTTCACGTGGTACAGTACGAAGAAAATTTACCAAATTTGTAAATCCGTTACTTGGATACCAAAAACCCTTCGCGTTAAGACTATCACGTGGTTCTCATTCAGAGTCTTTATTAGTTGATGCAAAGAAAATACCTAATATGGGAAGAGGTCAAATGAAGGGTCATGGGATAAATCAGTTACATGATTGACAGCTCGATGATGCATACAAAATATCGTTTCGTTATTGCAAACTCGGAGGCTAACGCCTCCTCGCGTGCAATAACTCAACGATATTTTGTATGCATCATCTCGTGTCATCATGTAACTATTACTTAACGCCCTGTTTTGGATCTTTTTGCGACTCCAAAACCAAGCTATAAATGAAGTGAATCCAAAATATATTACGAGCAATGGAAAGATCAACATATACTTGGTTATACAAGGTGGAGCATTTGTACAAAAACAATGTCATGCTTTCATATATCAAAATTGAAGCAACGATACATGAGTATAGTCTTCCAGAATTCGACATGTACACGGACTGGTTTTTATGTCACACAATCAATATTTATAGGAGGCGGGGCTAACGATCGGCGTCATTGTTGAAATCTCTCTCTCTCTATCCCTCTCTCTCTCTCCCCATAAATTCGAATACGTGTTAAGCATATTACAGTGATGTCATTATTTTAAAAATATGATGAAAAGCAAAATTAAAACAATATTTAGTTTGCCAAATTCTGAAAACGGCAACAAAATACGCTCAAAGACATAATTTAGAACGAGATCAAGTTGAAGAATACAATGTAACTGTTTTCACGAGTACACTCGCAGGTGGACATCACGTGATGAATTGTAATATTAAACAGGTCAATGGAAGACATAACAATGGAAGCTAGAAGTTTCTTTCGAACCTGTTTTTTGTTAAATTAAGTGGGAGCACACATTTGTCGGCTCTTCTTCTTTTAATATAACATTATTTTATTCAATATACAACTACAGTTTTCTTAAGAACAGCCGACAAACATGTGCTGACTATGTATTCAGACGATGAAAAACGCGTGACCTTGATTATCTATTGATATTCAAGAAACCTTCAGGCACCATGCCTTCGATATTTATTTAGTTTACCTCTAAAAAAGCGTTTAAAATTCACATCCGTACCATGAATACACGGTTAAGATATCGGGAGTTTATATGATAGAAAAAAATAAACATTTTGTGAAACTTAAATTTAAGGCATTTTTTCTGGCCAGTTAAGTCCGCCCATTCTTTGCAGCTCTCCACCGGCAAGTGGAGACGTCTCCATATGAGTTAACAATATACAATCAATCAATCATTCTGACATAGGTAGAATACTAAAGTAGATAAGACGCTAGTCTTCTTAACATAGTTCCGAAATAATGAAAATCATATATATAGTGCGTATCTTTGTCGCAATTTAAGTCTTGCTATCCAGTCAAAAAGGTATTTATTTGCAAACGCTACTACATTCATGAACGACAAAACGAAAAATATTGACAATACAAAAGCAAACTATGAAAATTCATAACCGAAAAAAAAATAATAATAGTAAAAAGAAGACATATTGATTTTTTTACCTCTATCAGATTTAATTTTACATCACCTTGACAAAACTTTATTGGAACAGCATATATTATACATAATAATGTCCATACGAATACCAGGAACCTACAAGTTTATATGGTAAGTTCTTTTCATATCCTACCCATTCATACCAAAACCGCCAATATTGCAATTTTTTGTAAAACGCCGATGGGTTTTATAGGCCAGTTATTAAAATCGTAAAATGACACCAACATCGCACGTAAAGTCAATAAAGGACCTGTCACAAGTCATTTTGAATAAAGTATCGTAGATATAGGACGGGGCCCGACTCGGGTTGTCGCTATCGCCTTAAGCCCCGCCCTGTACCTCCGATACACTAGGAAGCTCGTTGTCTAAATATAACGTAAATTACAGTTAAGCATTAGAAAGATTTTTTATCGTAATTTTATATGCCTTTTTACCTCCTTGTAGGAAATGACGCAATCCACGAACTGACAAAGAAGAAGGACCAGGAACTTCGGGTTGAACTACAAAGTTTCGATCGCGATGAAGCATACGCTCAGTACTCCACATTTTATATTGGAGATAAATACAATAAATACATACTCACTGTGTCGGGGTATTCAGGAACTGCAGGTTAGTCTACTCATAATAAAGTTAACCGGTCAAGGTAGCCTAGTGGTAAAACGTTTGTTTCGTGATTGGGAGCATCGGGTTCAATTCCCGGTGCCGCGTCAAATCTTAGACGAAAATATTGATAGTGAGTGTTCTTTTGCCAAGCGCTCAGCATTAGAAGTGAAAGTCACGGCTTTTTACGAGATGACCTAAAAAAAAGTAGGTCCCCTGCCACGTTAGACGTTGGCACGATAAAGAAACCTCCCTGCTCAACGGCCCTGATTGCCTAGTATAAGTCTTTGAAGCCTTTCACCGGTATACGGTGACGTCTCCATGTGAGTGAAAAAAATTCTTCAGTTTTTTTTACGGTGACATCTCTACATGAACGAAAAATTCTCGAATGGGACTATAAACAATATATACAATAAATCAAATCAATCATAATAATGTTACATACTGTTCTGTAGTCACAAGGGATTAGAATTGAATTCTGTTCTGATTGGAAATTGTGAATATAGTGTCATGAGTGTTCCATATGTCACTATTGGACTGGCACCAAAAAGTATAGTTGACATCACATTTTACTTTTTCATATTATAAAGACAATTTTAATGGATATTATCTTAATATATGTACACTTTATAATGATAAAAAGATATCTTGATATTCCACACTTTAGAATGATAAAAAAATGTTTTAAATGGATTAAATTAAATAGAAACACAATTTATGCATGTAAAACTGCATTGAACCCTTTTCGCGTTTACAAACACGCCTCTTCAAAATCTTTAAGGCCTTACCAATGACATACAGTATTACCCGTGTAGATACTTAATTCATTCATTAATTACTTAGTGTTATAAATCTTAAAACCAAATAATGTTCATGACATTTTTCCGTTAATTTTTTAAACAAAAAGCAAAAGTACCATTTAAAAATAGTGAGGTGTGATGTCCAGTTTTCTCTCATATACATAGAAGAACAAGCCTTTTATATGTACACATTATATATTATATTAATGCTTTGATACAAGTTTTAACTTAAAAATTTAGTATGCATCGTAAAATATATATTACATACAACATGTATTTGTTCGTTATTTTTACATCATTCATTAACAATGTTTTCTTCAATCCTAGACAAAGGTGATTTAGACCGTTCACGGTAGCTCAGTCGGTAGAGCGCTCGCTCAGTGATCGGGAGGTCGTGAGTTCGTATCTCACCCGTGACCGACCCAGTCGATAAAATGGGTAGCAACTGTTTCTTCGCCATGCGCTTGGCACTTTGAAGTGAGAGTTGCGAGTCCTTCGGATGAGATCTTAAATCCGAGGCCCCGTGTCAGCGGCAGGCGTTGGCACTGCTCACTGCTCAATGGCCCTGAGTGCCAAGAAAAGGTCAAAATTTGAAGCCCTTCACCGGCACACGGTGACGTCTCCATATGAGTGAAAAATTTTCGAGAGGGACGTTAAACAATATACAATCAATCAATCAATCTCAATTAGATGAAAAATAAAACACTTACAATGGGAGCCCCGCAAGTATCATACTTATCGTCTCTATCACTACTGGCTTTTAAAACCCCTGTCCGTATGAAAATCCCATGTCTTTCTCTGTATCCTACAGCATTTTCACAGTTATCTACGGTTTATCTACAGTATGCTACGGTATTTATATGAATGAAAAATTCTCGAGAGGGACGTTAAACAACATACAATCAATCAATCAGTCAAAGGTGATTTAGCTGGAGGTAACAATATTATGATTATTGCTTTATCATATTACAAATTATGGTTTTATCTAATTTCTGTTTAAGGTGACAGTATGGATTATCACAATGGATATAAATTCACAACTAAAGATAAGGATAATGACGGTGATGGTGGAAATTGTGCTACACAATATCACGGAGCCTGGTGGTACAACGCTTGTCACTACTCAAATCTAAATGGACTGTATGCCCAGTCTGCAGTGTCTGGTTATCAATACCCGGTATGGAGAAAATGGAGAGAAAAAGAAGCATTAAAACAGACTCAGATGATGATTAGACACAAGAACTAGAGATTATCAGACTTGACATTTTATTACAAATTTGTCATATTTTATTTTTGTTAAAAAAAGCAGTTTAATCCATATTGTTTACTTGTTTCAGTACAGATTTATTTTCAGTATCCTGTAATAGACAGTTACCTTGCATGTATGTGTGTCCTGACTTATTCAATATTGTTGACTTTGAAATTAAATTTTAAACTCTCATGTATTCTTCAGACAAAAATGTTGTTTTTAATAAATTTTGCTTTGTTGAAAGAAACCTCAAGATAAAATAAAGTAATGAATAAAAAAATAGATTTTTGTGAGAAAAATAATACTTAATTTCTAGAAAATATTAATATATTTGATACGATGCAATCATTATTTTAAGTTTAATCTACGGGATACATTGCATTTGAGATAAAGAGTACAGAAAATATAACAAGAGGCCCCCGGGCCGTATAGGTCACTTGAGTATCACGCAACAACTTTCAAACAATTGACTGTGGTTTGTGTTTTAAATCTAAGGCCATGAAATTCACGATTTTGAAAGAGGCATCATTGCTAGTCATAACAAGCTAATTCAGAGATTTTGTGTCCCCCGTTAAAAGAAGACCATGCGCAGTTGGGGTGGGGTGGGGGGGGGGCGGATCCCCCTGACTGAATTTGTACAATTATTAAATAAATGTGTACATGTATATTGAAGCAAATAAATAATGCCAATATGGATATAAAGATTTGATTGCTTATCCTTTATTATGTGTTCTTTTTATATAGAACATTTATCACACCGTAAGGATGATTTTATCAGTTTGTACAAGCCAGACCTCATTTCTTTTTTCATATCTCATGATGCTGAATACTAACATTTAGTGGAAAAAAAAGCATTTCAAAAAAAGGTTCACTCGGGATTCGATCGTGGGACTTCTTGCATGTTAAGCGAGAGACGTATCACTACATCACGAAGCCGCTATTTTCTGTCGGAAATTATATGGAAACATTGGGTCACATACTTGTATATATTTACGTTCGCTGTTGTCAAAATTTTACACAATGCATGGTGTCTAATTTAACCTTTATTAAACAGTTCTAGACTAAAAGATGTAATAAGAACTAGTAGACTTATTGTTCACAGAACAATAAGAGGTCTTTCCACCTTCTTTGAATTTTAAATTTCTTTTATATCTGACTCCTTAAAATTAAATTCCATGAAAAAGAAACCAAAATTGTCTTAAAGCATAGAAAAAATGAAAATTTAAAAAAAAAAGAAATGACCTTGACCTTGAGAAAATATTCAAGGTCAAAGGTCAAGGGTCACAATGCAATTTACTGCATGCTTCTACAACTTATAGTTTTCTAGTTATAAGGTTTAATAGTAAGTACAAAGAAGTTAAAGGGCAATAACTCATATAAAGTTTCATCAGATCCTTTTGCACTTATACAGTGAAGTTAGGCCTAAAGACCCTTAAGACATCAGTGAACGTTTGGTGTGTCTAGGGTCTACAGTTTTGAATGAGTAGTGATAACAAGGTTTTTTGCACAAGGGGCAATAACTTTTAAAAGGGTTAATGTTAGGGGACAAGAATAAAATCTTTTAAACAGTTTTAAGAGTACATATTATTGATGCATAGACATTAAATATATATTGAGAGACAAAAGAGATATAAAAAATGTTAAATATTTCATTTTTTGAATGACCTTGACATTTGACCTTTACATTCATTTTAAGGTCAAAGGTCAATGAATCTTATGCAGTTGGTCCCATGTCTCTACGACTTCTCATTTTGAAAATTTTTCATTATTTGTAAAATTCAAAAATTTCAGGGGCAATAATTCATAGAAGGGGTCTTCGAATCCTTTTGCAATGAATATATCCGAAGGTCCTCTCAAGTAGTTGCAGACATTGGTAAAGCTTTCAAACCTCTGTAGTATATGGTTTCGGAGGAGTAGCGATAACAAGCATTTCTTGCGTAAGGGGCAATAACTTTTGAAAGAGTTAATGTTAGGGGACAAGAATGAAATCTTTCAAATAGTTTTAAGAGGGCATATTAATGTTGCAAAGACTTTAAGTATATGTTGAAAAACAAAAGAGATATAAAAAGACCTTAATTTCTCATTTTTGGAATAACCTTGACCTTTGACTTTTGCATAAATTTTAAGGACAAAGGTCAGTGAATCTTATGCAGTTGGTTCCATGTCTCTACGACTTCTCGTTTTAAAAAATTTTCATTATTTGTAAAATTCAAAAACTTTCAGGGGCAATAACTCATAGTAGGGGTCTATGAATCCTTTCGCAATGAATAGATCCGAAGATCCTTTCAAGTAGTTGCAGACATTAATAAAGGTTTGGAATCTCTGCGGTTTATGGTTTCAGAAGAGTAGCGATAACAAGCATTTCTTGCAAAAGGGGCAATAACTCCTTTAAGAGTCAAAGTTCATATAAGCAGGGTCATCTGCGAAAATCATTTACGAAGTACATTCTTATGGTCTATAAATCTTTTCGATAAATCTTGAAACTCAAAAACACGTTTGGCGGAAAAATAATAACTAGGAGACTTATTGTTCACAGAACAATAAGAGGTCTTTCCACCTTCTTTGAATTGTTCAATTTTGTTTTATATCTGACTCCTTAAAATCAAATTCCATGAATAAGAAACCAAAATTGTCTTAAAGGATAGAAAAAATTAAAAATTAAAAAGAAATATGAAATGACCTTGACCTTTGACCTTGAGAAATTATTCAAGGTCAAAGGTCAATGGTCGCAATGCAATTGACCCCATGCTTCTACGATTTATAATTTTCAAGTTATAAGGTTTTATATTAAGTATAAATAAGTTAAAGGGCAATAACTCGTATTAGGGGTCATCAGATCCCTTTGCATTTATACATGAAGTTAGGCCTAAAAACCCTTAACACATTAGTGAAGGTTTGGTGTCTTTACCGTCTATAGTTTGGGAGGAGTAGCGATAACAAGGTTTTTTGCACAAGGGGCAATAACTTTTAAAAGGTTTAATATTAGGGGACAAGAATGAAATCTTTGAAATAAATTTAAGAGTGCATATCAATGATGCATAGACATTAAGTATATGTTGAAAGACAAAAGAAATATGAAAAGAGCTAAATTTCTCATTTTTTGAATGACCTTGACCTTTGACCTTTACATGAATTTTAAGGTCAAACGTCAATGAATCTTATGCAGTTGGTCCCATGTCTCTACGACTTGTCATTTTGAAAATTTTTAATTATTTGTAATATTCAAAAAGTTTCAGGGGCAATAACTCATTGAAGGGGTCACTGAATACTTTTGCAATGAATAGATTGAAGAGTCCCCATAATTAGGCAAAGCCATTGGTGAAGGTTTCATACCTTTACGGTTTACGGTTTCAGAGGAGTAGCAATAACAAGGGTTTTTAGCACAAGGGGCAACAACTTTTTAAAGGGTCAATCTTAGGGGCCAAGAATTATATCTTCTAAAGAGTTTCAAAAGTACATATTAAAGACATAAGATAGATAGTATATGTTCAAGGACATAAGAGCTATTAAGAGAAATTTATTTCTCATATTTGGAATGACCTTGACCTTTGACCTTGAAATGAATTTGAAGGCAAAAGGTCATTGAATGTTATGCAGTTGGTTTCATGTCTCTACGACTTTTCGTTTTGAAAATTTTTAATTTTTTGAAAAATTTATAAACTTTCAGGGGCAATTACTCATTGAAGGGGTCAAAGAAAAATTTCGCAATGAATAGATTGAAAAGTCTCCTAAATTAGTTCAAGACAATGGTGAAGGTTTTGTATCTCTACGGTTTACGGTTTCTGAGGAGTAGCGATAACAAGCTTATTGGTGAAAGGGCCAATAACTGCGTAAGGGATCGAAGTTAAAACATGGGGGGGAGTTTTTCGGAATAACTTTAAATATCCAGTATCATAAACTAAAAAGTTTTTTGATAAGTCTTACGGTGTCAAAACATAAGGTGAGAAATAAAATAAAAAACAGAAGCATTTCAAGAGGTCTTTCCACAGAAAGGTGGAAAGACCTAATAACTAGGAGACTTATTGTTCACAGAACAATAAGAGGTCTTTCCACCTTTTTTAATTTCTGATAGTTTTATATTTTACTCTCCAATTTAATTTTAAGGGAAATGGCTTTAAAAAAGAAAATGAAAATTAAAAAAAAAAAAAAAATTTGAAATGACCTTGACCTTTGACCTTGATCAGATCTTCAAGGTCAAAGGTCAAGGGTCACATTGCAATTGACCCCATGCCTCTACGACTTTTAGTTCTATAGTTATAAGTTTAAATATTAAGTGCAAAGAAGTTAAAGGGCAATAACTCATATAAACGGTCATTAAATCCTTTAGTACTTATACAATAAAGGTGTGCCTAAAGACCCTTAAGACATTAGTGAAGAGTTCATGACTCTACGGTCTACAGTTTTGAAGTTGTAGCGATAACAATGTTTTCGCATAAGGGGCAATATCTTTTGATAAGGTCAATCTTGGGGAACAAAAATGAAATCTTTGTAATAGTTTTAAGAGTACATATTAATGATGCAGAGACTTTTTGCATATGTTAAAAGACAAAAGAGATATAAAAAGAGATTAATTTCTAATTTTTGGAATGACCTTGACCTTTGATCTTGACAAAATATTCAAGGTCAAAGGTCAAGGGTCACAATGCAATTGACCCCATTCTTCTACCATTTATAGTTTTCAAGATACAAGGTTTGATAGTAAGTATAAAGAAGTTAAAGGGCAATAACTCATATAAGGGGTCATCAGATTCTTTTGCACTTATACAGTGAAGTTAGGTCTAAAGACCCTTAAGATATTAGTGAAGGTTTGGTGTCTCTACGGTCTATGGTTTCGGAGGAGTAGCGATAACAAGGTTTTTTGCACAAGGGGCAATAACTTTTAAAAGGTTTTATCTTAGGGGACAAGAATGAAATCTTTGAAACAGTTTTAAGAGTACATATTAATGATGCATTGACATAAAGTATATGTTGAAAGACAAAAGAGATATAAAAAGAGCTTATTTTCTTATTTTTGGAATGACCTTGACCTTTGACCTTTACATGAATTTTAAGGTCAAAGGTCAATGAATCTTATGCAGTTGGTCCCATGTCTCTACGACTTCTTGTTTTAAATTTTTTAATTATTTGTAAAATTCAAAAAGTTTCAGGGGCAATAATTCATTGACGGGGTCACCAAATACTTTCGCAATGAATAGATTGAAGAGTCCCCATAATTAGTCAAAGACATTCGTAAAGGTTTCATACCTCTGCGGTGTATGGTTTCTGAGGAGTAGCGATAACAAGCATTTCTTGCGAAAGGGGCAATAACTTTGAAAGCGGTCAAGGTTCATTTACGCAGGGTCAACTGCAAACATCTTTTACGGAGTACATTCTTATAGACTATAAATCTTTTCGATAAATCTTGAAACAAAAAATCACACGGCGGAAAAATAATAAAGAAAAGGAAAAGGAAAAAAAGAAACAGAAGAATATCAATAGGTCTTTCCACAGAAAGGTGGAAAGACCTAATAAACAGAACAATTTCAATAGGTCTTTCCACAGAAAGGTGGAAAGACCTAATAAAAAGTCAGCCGACAACCT